TAGCAGACTCCCACTTGACTGAATCTTCCACCTGCATTGCTTCGTCATAACACTCTGGTTCATCACTATCAGTCAGCAATAGGTAGTGCAAAGAAGGCGAATAACGCTGTGTTGGCTTTGGAATTCTGGAGGAGCGTCTCACTTATGGCGTGCTTGGTTCTTCTTGAACTGCTTCAGGGCTTGTTTGAACATCTTTTTCAGAAATCTCCTCAAATTCAGCAAATTCCTTTTCAGCTTTTGTACTGGAGCTACTTGATTCTGCAGTTGATCTGTCTTTGTACATCACATTCTTATTGAATATGACATCTCTGCTTCTGATGATCTTCCGATTTTTATAATCCCAAAATCGGTAACCAAACTCATTACCACCATAACCAACAAAAACACATTTGTTAGATTTGGCATCAAGTTTACTTCTTTCAGCAGAATCTATGTGTACATAAGAGATACAACCAAAAATTCTTAAATGTGAAAGGTTTACATCTTTTCTGCTCCAAGTCTATGTGTACATAAGAGATACAACCAAAAATTCTTAAATGTGAAAGGTTTACATCTTTTCTGCTCCAAGCTTCTTCCGGTATTCCACCATCCAAGGGAACTAAGGGATCGCGATTGATTAGGTAGGCTGCGATATTGATAGCTTTAGCCCATAGGAACTTGGGCAAGCCGGCATGTATCCTCATGCTTCTGGCACGTTCATTCAAAGTTCTGTTCATGCGCTCTGCTACGCTATTCTGCTGTGGTGTCATGGGAACTGTTTTCTCCATCTTGATCCCGTTATTTGCGCAAAACTCTTTGAATCTACTATCTTTGTACTCTCCTCCATTGTCTGACCTCAACCTCTTTATCTTCAAACCAGTTTCATTTTCCACCATGGCCTTCCATTTTCTGAAGGTATCAAAGACTTCTGATTTCTTCTTCAAAAAATAAACCCACACCTTCCTTGTAGAATCATCAATGAATGTGACATAGTACAGTGAGCCTGCAAGAGATGAAACTGGAGATGGTCCCCATACGTCGGTATGAATTAATTCTAACCTTTCTGTCTTGGGTGTCTTGCCAATCTTTGCAAAACTGACTTTCTTCTGTTTGCCAAAGATGCAATCCTCGCATAGGCCGACATCTACATTCTTCAGATCCGGTAGCTTCCCTTTTGACAGAAGTGTCTTCATCCATTTCTCGCTCATCATAGGTTTGATTTTTCATCTGCATCTGTTACTGCAATGATATTCTCTAAGTTAGAGGTTATATAGAGAGTACCATTTTTCTTACCTCGAGCAATGACGAGTGCTCCTTTGGTAATCTTCCATTCATGACCCGAGAAGGTTGTACAATAACCCTCTCCATCAAGCTGTCCCACAGAGATCAAATTCCTTCTGAGACCAGGAATATGTCTCACACCTTGCAGCTTCCATGTGGTCTGATTTGGCAATTTTAATCGGATGTCTCTCTTGCCAACAATCTTCAAGGTTTCATCATCTGCTAGATGTACCTTTCCGAAATCACCGCTGACGTAGTTCTCCATGATTTCTCGGCATGGGGTGGAATGAAAAGATGCCCCTGAATCAAGAATCCATGATTCAATCGGACTGTTGACGCTTAGAATCATAGCATCACCTCCTTCCTCGGTCACGTTGGCAGACTCCTGTGCGCCGGTGTTTTTCTTCGGTGCCCGACACTCCCTCTTGAAATGACCCTTCTTGCCACAATTGTAGCACTTGAAGTCTTTCTTTCCTGATCTAGATTTGCTCCTTCTAGATTTTGATCTGCCGTGATTTGAACTTCTTTCTGAAGTTCTTCCCCTAGACTCCGTGTGTAAAGCTGAGGAGGTTGAAGCTTCACCCGATTCTCTCCGTCGGATCTCTTCACTAAGAACCAGATCACGAACATCATCGAACTTCAACTTGTTGCTTCCCGATGAGCTACTCACAGCCGTGACTGTAGCGTTCCAGCTTTCTGGTAGAGAAGAAAGAAGTATCAATGCTCGTACTTCTTCATCAAATTCAATCCCAACTGAACTCAACTGGGTTGTGACTATGTTGAGTTCATTGAGATGTTGAGCTGTCGATGCGCCTTCCGTCATTCGCAAATTGAACAGCCGCCTCATCAAGTGAACTTTGTTTGAGGCAGAGGGCTTCTCGTACATGCTGCAGAGAGCCGCCATAAGACCCGCCGTGGTCTTTTCCTTTGCTATGTTGAAGGCAACGTTGCGGGATAGCGTCAATCGGATAACTCCAAGGGCTTGTCTGTCGAGGAGAGCCCACTCTTCATCCTTCATATCATCTGGCTTCTTTCCCGAGAGAGGTTGATACAACTTCTTCTGGTACAGATAGTCTTCGATCTGCATCTTTCAAAAGCCGAAGTCCGCACCATCGAACTTCTCAATTTTTACCTTCCCTTCGTCTGCAGCCATAGCTCCCACTCGAATCTGACTTTCTCTGGATCGTTTCTGACAATTTCTGCGAACCACCTTGTATTAAGATACCTCCGCCGACAAGTCAGTACTGCCGACAAAATTCCACTATTCACAAAATTTACTATTCACGTGAATAGTAACCTTACAGAAATTTAACAGACGTCACAACCAGAGCTCTGATACCAGTTGTTGGGTGATTTCTCAGATTTCCCTATTGCCAGATTTGAGAGAAAGCGAAAAATAAATACGCAAATTGGGGGACACGCAAGATTTACGTGGTTCGGCACAAAATTGCCTACGTCCACGGGTTGCTGCAGATCTTTCACTATTTGGAAGAAAATTTTACAACACTCTTGTGTTTTCTCACAACTCAATCCCACTCTGAAAATTACTCACAATTTTCTCTCACAAAGACTTTTCTCTAAGCCTCTCTTTTCTCTCTCTTATTCTTCTATAAGAGGAGTTGTTTCTGGGATGAGATTTTCCTTAAGAGTTTGAGGTCTATTTATAATGTTTGGGAAAACACTATGCACTAATATTTTAATACTAGTGGGGCCCGCCCACTTTTCTTCTTTCAAAAAATGCGGCACCGAATTCAGTGATGGGAGGTGATTGGAAATTCGGTGGCATGATCTTTTTGACAAGAAAAGAGCCACATGCTCTTTTGCATTTTTTATCAAAAATGGCTGCCCCCCTTGCTTTCGGTGGCAGCATTAATTGACTAACAAATATGAGAATGAGAATGAACATTTCATTCCCACGTCAATGACATTCTATTAATACCTTCAATCCATTCTCACTTGATTCCATCCTAACGTACCATACAAGGAGTTAATTTAGAATGGATAATGAAAGAAAAAAAAAGAGGAGAATTTTTTTTCCTTACGCTGCCCCTCTATTTATATGTAACTAATTTATAATTCTGTCACTTGAGTTTGCAGCTCTGAGTTACTCCGAGCCATGCGTATGACCTTATATTCTTAAAACTTCTTTTTTAGGGACTTACAACATTGCAAGTATAAAAGCACTATGTATTTGAGATGAAAAAATTCTCCAATGACCCAAAATATTGGACCAACAGGGGGGACAGATGATGTGTCCCCCTCCTATTGCATAATGAGCTGACCAATGATGGTCAGCTCATTATGCAATAGGAGGGGTACACTCCACCTGCCCCCCAGTTGATCTCATATTTTGGGTCACTGTAGCAAAGCTTATTTGAGATATTTTTTTGTCAAAAGAAGAAAAGACCATCTCCTTCTATTAAAAAGAATGTAATGAAAAACATGTGCATATATAATCTCAATATCCTACAAGCTAATTAATCTTAGGTTGCCAATGTGAAGCTAGCTAGGAGTGACATGTGGACTCACGAGTCAAATGCTTCATACAAAAAAGTTGTTTCCCAATATCAAGCCTAGTAAGGCTTGAAGTCATGCTACATATGTTGCAAATTATTCTCACAGTCCTAATAATCCCAATAGAGCTCAGTCAACATTGCTTTACAAAAAAAAAGAGGAACATCTCTACACTAGAGTGGATGCCAATGCGCCTCAAAGACCCTAGAATGCATAGGGGGAACATGGGAGCTAGATTTGATATGCTTCTAGGGTTTGAGGCATACACATGAAATGAAACACATTTATAAATGGAAGTTTTTTTTTTATTTATTTATAAATTTTGTTATATTTTGGTTGGCTGATGTTATGTCATCTTATCCTCCCAAGAAAGACAAAGAAGGCAGGCCTTTGTCTACTAACCTCTTTGCAATCACTTTTGCAGCGTGCATGTAAAGCACATCCAAACAGAAGGGGGAGAAAAAAGAAAGGACTTTGTACTCTGCCATGTGTCTACTTGGTTGCAGCAAAAGGTTAAAGTAGATAATAATGGTAATAACAGCATTCTTACATTTTTAATGATTGGAACTTACATTTCATATTAGTTTGAATTTTCTCTTGAGTTTTGGGAAGGGTAATCTGTTGCTTATGTATAATAACTGGAGGATATTTCTACGTATAATATTTCAAAAAATATCGATTTTGTTTATCTAGTGTTATTAATGACTATTACTACAAAAACAATGACAGTTTGTTGATTGGTTAAAACGATATTACCTGTCATTTGATAAAGATCTTATATCTCTTATTTGGCCTTCTAACTTTCTCTGAAATTTACCTCAGAATTTTTCTCTTTCAATTGTGTATATGTTGAAAGTTTAAATGTGGATACAATTTTAAATTGGAAAGAATTAGAAAACTATAAGTTTATAAAAAAATTAGGATCAATATCTAATCATTTAGACTTGGGATCAAATTCGCCTATCTAACTCTAGTGAGATAACTATTTCTCTACAAGTTGTACATTGTGATTTATGGATAACATAGCTCAAGAGAATTGAAGAGCGACTAAATTCCAGATATTTCATATATATATATAGAGATATTAAATAGACGTTTTCCGTGAATAATTGAGTAATAAAAAATTTATATTAGTTATACCAAACAAAATGTCAATGATAATTCTTGTAAGGTTTTCTTTGAATTTTTTAGAGAAAGTACTAATGATGCACTGATAATAACAGAAGTGACCAAAGAGAAAGGATTAATAATGATGCAAAAAAAGAAAGACTAAACGGTGGCATTTTAGTCATTCCTGTCCCCTATTTTACAACCCCTTGCACAATTTTGCGAATTTGCAACCTCAGTCCACATGAATCCTCTTAGGAAGGACTGAACCCAAAAACCCACAATGCCCTACATTTCCCTCTTTGCCCTCAACCCTCAGCCTCGCCTTCCCGCCAATTCGGACCGTTACAAGACTCAATTCAAAAATTTCCTTCACCCACCTCTCAAATTCACTCTCCAAGAACCACCCCATTGCTCCTCTCAACCCCTCGACTGCCGTCTGATCAGCGATCAACCGCCCATCGGATGCCGATCTTAGCCTCTCGATGATGCCCTCTTCGATCAGGTGGGCCCCACCACTGGCTATCTCGTCCATTGTAATGGGTGTACCAATGGACTCAAGCAGTCCATTAGGGAGTTTGACTTCATCGCCTTCATCAATTTCATGGGTCAGATCACTGTCTTCAGCACAAATATTGAGATCAAGCTCAAATTCAGCTGCGTTCAACTTCAGTTTCTTCTTGTTCTCATTGAAAGAAGAATCTGATTCTGAACTCTTCCTCTTGTGATCAGACGAAGATACCTCTTCGACCGAGAGCCTCATCTTCAGTACTCCGTCATGGCTCTCATCAGTAGAATTGAGATTTGCAGAGCTTGAAGTAGCCAGAATGAAGACAGTATGGGATAGTTCCACCGTTCCCCCAAATGGGTTCTTCAAAATTCCAGTTTTGATGCATTGAGAGATCATTTGTATAAACCCCTCGTTTGCTTGATCGATGTCCTCAATCAAAACCACACATTTTGAATCTTTTGCTATTGCCTCAATGAGTTCGTCAACACCATCAGCTGATATTCTGGAATTGATGCATATCAGTTTATCAGTAGACCCACAAAAGGATTCTGTTACAACCCGAGCAAGCCTCCTCTTGCCAATTCGATCAGTTCCTTTAATTAATACCCAAGCGCCATTCTTTGATTGGCAACCAGCCAATGTTTCAACGATCGAAGGAATAATCTCAGATTGCCAAGGGATGTTCTCTTGCAGAAGCCTGCTTAATTCTATGTTGTTAGCTTTTGCTCTCTGATCTGTTGAGGTTGCAGTGTCAGAGAACACAGGATTTCCGAGTGCAAGTGTGGTCTTCACATCAGATTGCCAAGGTCTCTCGCTATCCCTGTTCTTGAATTGGGGTGTAAAGATGGGGCTTGCTTTGCTAATTTCAGGAGTCGATTTGGGGAATAAGGTAGAATTTGATTTGTTCTTATTGTCAGTTAAGAGAGAAGACCACCATGGATGTGATGAAGGATGTGAAGGTAATATACGATTTGAGCTTTGCTGCAAATGGTGAAGATTTCGGCATAATCTGTTCCATTTCCTCCTCAACTCAATCAAGTTATCCTGAAAAAGATGTTGAAAGAGTTTATAAGCTAACAATGGGATTTTAATAAAAGCATTTGGAAATTTTCTATTTTTTGAGAAATTAAGCTTTATAGCTTATACCTTGTGATGATTCTCTGGTTTATGTGGTTGCAACCAGTAGGGCAATTGTGCTGATCCAGTGAAGACTGATGCTTCTTTCTCAAAATTAGAAGTGCATTCAGAACAGCAATGGAGCTTTTCTTCTTCTTCTTCTTCCTTGGAATACAAAGGCTTTTTCTCCAGCATTTGGAAAGGGAATTGTGATAGCTTTGTCACCCTTGAATCAAGACCACTGCATGATACACAGAGAAAAATGTTGAAAACATGCACACCCTTGAATCAAGACCACTGCATGATACACAGAGAAAAATGTTGAAAACATGCACAGCAAGTACACCTAGTCGGTCGATTGATCCCATGTATCAGTCGACCAATATGACCCTAAGTTCTGAGTATTGTAAATTTCCTCCGGAAGGTCGACCGATAGGATTTATCAGTCGACCGACCAGAGTTTGTTCTGGTGCATGTTTCGTGCACTTCAGTCGACCGATGAATCCTATCGGTCAACTAATAACGGGTGGAGCGGTTGAAAACAGTATCCTATTCATTTTGGAATTAGGGTTTATATATTAAAAGGAACGTTTTTTCTAGGTTTTGACAAGAGAAATTTGAGCACTTTGAGAGGGAGATTCTGTGAAGGGAGAGAAATCTTGTTGGTGAGGGTTAATTTGATTGTTTGAGAGTTGTTTCTCCTTCATATAGTGAAATCTCCCCCATCCTCTCCCCGTGGACGTAGGCATATTGTCGAACCACGTAATTCTCTGTGTTTGCGATTGATCTTGGTTGTTTATATTGTGGATTGTGCTCTTGTGTTCTTTGTGCATTGCTTACCGACTTGTTGTGGATTGAATCCACTTCCGCTGGACGCAACAAAAAATGGGACTTAGATTTCATATTAATCATTTTTTGTGTCTCTCCAAAGGAGTAGTCATATTTAAAAAAAAGTAATTATTTTCACATTTCTTAAAAAAACATACCGCCATCCTGCCTGGAAATCCTGAGAAAAGTAAGAAGCATCACATGACTTCATATTATTAGTTCTATATTTGCTTCACCTTCTCATTCTAGTGATCTTTTACTTAAAACATCAGACCAGAAATGATGACTCATCTCGTTGTTATTATAAGAGATGCATGCGTACCTACTTGAGTTAAGTCCAAATTCATGGCTTTGTTGAGATAACTTTTTTTGAATCGATGAGTCTTCACCTATAGACATCAAAACATAATAATATTTGATTTCACTATTCTAAAGAGAAAACTATGCACACATCTGGATAGCAATCTCCTTTCAGAGAAAAAATCATCACGCATCACTTCCTAAAGCATTACAACAAAAGGACATGCACAATAGAACATGATCTTTTCCACCTTATATTCAATGATATGTTTCTGAAAAAATTCTAAAAATAGCATCCATGTTGCAAACTATTGAATCACTGTCTGCCACCAAACCGCTTACGAAGTGGTCCAAACTTCGTAACACAAAAACAGTTGAAGAAAACCAAACAACATGAAAACAGCATGCATCTCTTTCATAGTAAAAAGGAAAATGACAGTTTTGATGAAGAAAGAGGCAAAACGAAGGCTCTCACCTGGGAGCTTGGAGGCTTAGCTTAAGCCCACCTGAAGGGACCACCACTGCCTGCAGGGCCCATTGGGCCTCAAGAGAGGGATGCCTCATCAAGCACCTCATGTAAGTTTGATAACTTGCAGTTGCCATTAACCAAACTCTGCTCACTTCCTTCATCTCTGAAACTAACTTCCCAATTTCCTCAACCAAATACTGAACTGGCCTAAACCCATCTCTTGTTTCTTCATCCAGAGCCCATCTCAGATCTCCAACAAAGACGATCACTTTCCCTGATGCTAAGGAAGTCAGTTTCCTTCTCAAATCCGAGACTTTCAGGTCCACTTCTCTCCTGCTCATGAGCCTGAGATGAACATAGGAGAGCTGAAGTTTAATGAAATGAGAGGATTTGAGTTCATCAGGGATCTCTCCTCTATCCACTCTCCTCATTAGCTCAGACATTAACCCCTCTGCTATTGAAACAGAGTCCCCAATTACTACTGTATTGCTCTTCCCCTGTTTCCTTAACAAAACATCAATAACCACCTTGATATCCTCTTTAATGGTAAAAAGGGGACATGGGTTTTGATCATTAGATGGTTTTAGAAAATGGGTATGCAACAAACTAGCACTAGTGATAATGTCTCTACTTGAATCAAAGAAAAAAGGGGAAGATGAAGAGAAAACAGAGCACCCATCGTCTTCAATATTGGATTTCACTGTAGTACTAGAGAACCCAGCCTCTCTCATAACTCTACTAACACTTGGGTCATCTAAAATTGATATAATAAGCTGCTCTAACTCTACTTTAATAGCTAAAATTGGTTGTTGCTGCTGCTGATGAAACTGCTGTTGCTGTTCAATGCAGCCCCTCCGCTGATGAGCTTGAGCTCTCTTTAACGCAGCAATGAGGGCATTAGAGAGAGAGGGCTGAGCCTGAATCAAAGACCCAGATGAAGGTGGAGGAGTTGTAGGGAGTCTATTGAGGGCTACATTGAAGCAGAGCTCAAGAGCTCTGCATTGGAGAGGGTGAGAGGTTAAGTGATGAGGGTGAGATTTGAGGCAAGCTCTTCTTAAGAGATTGGAGGAAGATGATGATGAAGTTAAGAGAGTGGCTGCAACATGAAGAGGGGTAACTTGAGCATGGCCTCTCCTTCTTGCTAAGTTGAGAGAGAGCTTGAGAATGGAGGCTGCCTCTGTTGTGAGGGCCTGCTGAATTGAGCAAGCTCCAGTGCGCATAACTTAAATCCCAAAGGAAACCCCCTCAAAACCGCAAAAGTGAGAGTAGAGAACTCAGAATCCTTAATCCTATTGAGATTTTTTGAGAAGAAAGAGTAGTGAGAAACTACCCCTTTTTTGTGAGGATTTGAAAAGAGTTTGTAGTGGTAGAGGAGGAGCTGGTGTTTTCTTCATGTTATATAAGAACTCTGATGTTGCTTTATATTTCTATTTTTCAGGGGGTTTGATCACTTTTTTTTTCATTTATGTACTGTTCACTTTATTTAAGCGTTTATTTGGTTTTTATAATTTAATTATTTTGGGGTGATTATTGGTGGCAATATATCGTGAGATTTTGAAAGGGGTTTGGCGCAAAGTGAACAGGAAAAGAGATTCAAAGAGGTTGGTTGGTGCTAGGCTGCTGCTGGCCCTGTGATTCCTCCACAGAGAATCTCTTGTATGCATTATGCATTTCTCTTCATCTGAGGATTGATTTAACTTTTCTACCTGATTATTTTGTTGTTATTTCAAACAATACTGTAAATTTGTACAGGATAACTGAGACGGTTTGCATTGGATGATATGCTTAAAAAAGATTTAAAAATGTAAGCATTTTAAGAAGTTAAAGCAAACTCTTACTAAAAATAGAATGGAAAATAAAATCATGTATGGTTTCAAAGATATACAAAAATAATGATATTAATGGATTATGAGCATTGGTAACACAAAGATACATGTACAACCTATTGAAAATGAGCTTTGCTACAGAGATCCAAAATATGAGACCAATAGGGGGGACAAGTGAGGTGTCCCCCTCCTATTGGATAATGAGTTGATCATCATTAATGATGGCCAACTCATTATCCAATAGGAGGGGGACACCTCACTTGTCCCCCTATTGGTCCCATATTTTGGGTCCTTAAAGAATTTTTCATTGAAAATAGATGTGATGTCTATTTGGACTCGATGGAAGAAAATGATTCCAAAATCTTGATATGTACCCCCAAAATTTGAAGTGAACTAATTCAACTACAAAAGCATGAATGTTTGAAAGCGTTAGTCTAAGTGTGTAGACTCAAAGATGAATAAAAAAGATGAAGAAAACAGTCCAGTCGTTGGCCGGTCAACCGCAGAGGAGGTTCGATTGATGTGATCCCTGCATGAAACGAGCGTGAGAAGCTCACTCTAGCCGATCGATCGACAGGGATGGTCCGGTCGACTGAAAACCCTGTAGAAATCGTGAGAAGCTCACTCTAGCCGATCGATCGACAGGGATGGTCCGGTCGACTGAAAACCCTGTAGAAATCTAAGCCCAGAATCGAGCTCTGTCCGGTCGACTGACATGAGGAGTCTGGTCGACTGAAAATGTGCACGAGCAGATCCTGTAATTTGAACTCTGGTCAGTCGACCGATGTCAGGTTTTTTAGTTTCCTGATTAGTTTGAGATTCTACTTTGAGCTAGGATACTATATATACCTAATACGTTTTAGTGTTTGTAGAACACGTGAAAAAGAGGGTTTTGAGAGGATTCTTTCAGAGAGATAAAAACCTATTTGTGGGCATTGTAATCTTCTTCAATTTAATTAAAGAATTATGTGGTGTGCCTCCCGAGGACGTAGGCACGTTGCCGAACCTTGTTAAATCTGGTGTGTTCTTTCTTGTTTACTTTCCTGCAAGTTTTATCTTTTATTTGCGGTGCTTTTCCTACTTTCCTACTCTCAAACACAAGGTCCGGAAGGGCACAGATTCAATTTGATTGTTTCGAATTCCCAACAGAAAGTAACCAAAAAAAAGAGTCATCGATCTTGAACAACAATATGAATTTCATAATTTTCTCTCATTTGCTCCTATGTTTCAAGTTTGTGTTCTAACAAGCTCCATAAAAATGGCTTATCATCACAAAAATGGATAATATTGAGCATACTATTAACTGGGCAACTTATACCATATCAGTAAACTAATGACAAAGGGTTCTCTATTGGCATGCTTTCACAAAAGTGGTAAAAATGGACATACATCCCAAATTAAGATCAAAGACCTCCCATGCTTTCCCATATTATTCTTTGGAGGGAGAGACAAAGCCACCACAAATACGAAAGAGCACAAAAGTGAAAGCGAAAGGAGGCAGTGAAAAAAGAGAGCCGTGACAAAGTAAGCATGGCATTTTTCACCTTTATACTACACACTATTCATATTTGTGAGTGTGTGCATTGGTGGTTCTATCCCTTTTCTTTTGGACATCTATACTTGGGGTATTATTTCATTTTCCTTAAAAGTTTAAAAAAGAGAGAAATCATTTCCTCTCATCGTGCCAATCCTCCCTCTTTCCTAAGTACCCCAAAAGAAAGTTCATGTCTACTCATATTGATTGCTTTAATATAACTTTCTTTTTACACCCTCTAAAAGCCATCTAGTCTCTAAACTCTTTTTGTCCTAATATAATTTCTATTGTTGCTAGGTAATCTGTCGTGTGTTTCTCTCAAAAGGGATAGCTTCTATACATGTTAATAGAATTATTATATATGTTATCTTAAAACTTATAATTTCCCCCTCATTCTTGGTCTTTATGCATGAAAATAGAATTGCCTAAAAATAGCAAATAAATACAAGGCTCATGACCTCTATTATTATCACTGGAGTAGGAATTCCTACCAGAAAGGATATCTATGATTATGTTGTTCACATGGAAAGCTTAAAACCTTTTATATTTTAGAAATATACAGCTTTATGATGCTATGATTTCACATATAGGGGATGTTTGGGAATGTTTTTTTTAAAGCTTATAAGTCATGCAAGTTTTTAGTGCCTTTTGGCTTTCATGATAAAAAATGCTGTAAGTATTGTTGGGTAGTATAGTAATTTGTTTGGTTAAACCTAACTTATTTACGTGAGCTTATAAGTTAGTTTTTTTTTTAAAGTTGGGGTATATATACCAGCTTTTTAAAATGTGTCTTATAAACTAACTTATTTGGTATTTTATCAAATAAATAAAAATAAAAAATCTAGTTTGAACCTTAAAAAAAGCCACCCAAACAACCCCATAATCCTACTTTTATCATAAAAGAGTAGACTAGTTTTCTTATGATTTGTGCTGGCTATTATCTTTCAAACCTTAATATTGTAATCTTTTTTTTTTCAATCTAAGAGTTATTATGTTGTTAACATTGTATACTTTCCGTCACAATGTCAAAAAGCTTGTTATTACTATAAAACACGGCAGATGAGTTTACAAACTTATAAACCATTGGCAGATTTTAAAGAATATAATACTGCTTAGCTTTCAACATGATAAAGGAGAAGACTGTAAGTAGGAGATCTAAGTGCAGTTATAAAATATATAGATATCAACATATAGATATGGTTTACATTTCTTAATACCTTCTTTCTCATCTTTTCTTAATGCTAACTTTTGACCAGTTCTTTATTTTAAAGCAGACTGTTTGAAGTTTGTGAAAGAGCCACTCTCATAACTTTTCGCAATTTAACCTAATTATTAAATAAAACACGTGAAGGAAGTCTAGTTACCTATAGCCTATGGGAAAAGACACAGAAAGCATAAACTAGGCACATTCTGGCCTTATTTTATATGCTTTTGTCTTTATAATTGTTGTTAGTATTGGATTTAGAGATCATTCCTTAGATTGCAATGAAATTCTATGACAAGGCTAATATTTTATGTGGTCTCAAGAATTGATTTTGATGTTCTGTCAGCCCTTTGTATGTTGTTCCATGCTGCATAAAGTAGGACATAATATTACAAACACCTCTTTTATGAAATTTTAGGTGTAGCAATATCAGTAGAGGAAAATTTTTTAAGCATCCAAAGGCTGTGGTCTAAATTAAATTTTCCTCTTAGTTACAGGATTAGAATGAGTAGAATATGATGCCTCTTCCAATAAAAGAAGATTGGATATTTGAGTGTTTATGTATGTGTATCTTAAAAGTGTTTCTTCAAAGTTCAAAGTCTGAGCTAATCAAGTAGTTTCCCCAGCTTACAAGAAAAGGCATCCCTTGTGGCTTTTTTTTTTTGGAAATAACTAGCTTTTGTAGCATGCTCAAAAAGTTTGGTGATCTTTTTGTTCTATTTTAGTGTCAAGAAATCAAGAGCATTAGGAAAGCACATTTGAGGACATGCACATATATAGGTGCTCCCTCCATCTAAAGCCACATAAAAAGAAGTATATGCCTAAAACATGTATGAGGATAACTAAGATAGGAGTTTGAACTTGCCGAATGAGTGTCATATGCTGCTAAGTGCTAGCTCATGTCACATCTTCCATTAGAGTGTAACTTAGATTAATTAGCTTCATACAATTAAACTGTTAGAATATTATTAACTCACGAGACTCCATCCTTGTCCTCTCAGAGGCCCAGAGTCTTTGACATGGAATCACCGAATCAGAGCATTAATATCTTATTAAATGCAGATTGAAATTAACTCTTTCAGAATATTAACCTAACATTCGGTTCAGTGGTATCAAATTTTAAAACTTATCTCCTGATACGATATATTCAAACAAATTTAGATTTGAGGTAGTAAGATTGAAATGTACATTAAAATGAAATTAACCCTTTTTATATTAGTAATCGCGCCGACTTTTTTTTATTTATTTACACTGATTTAATTTCCCTTTGCATTTGAAATTATTCGCACCGATTATTTACTGTTTGTGTTGATTCTATATGTTGATTATATTGATTTAAAATGGATAGTGTACACACAACTTAATCTTTATTGCTTATGATTTTCTATATATTGCCTGTCATATAATCTTTTTCCTAACTAACAAGATGGATGAGTACATAGTCCACGTACACACAACTTAATTCTTATTCCCCATGATTTTTATAGGGTTAATTGTACATAAACCCCTAAACATTAGGAGTTATTGTACGTAAACCCCTCTAACCTCTTTCATTCCACTAATTTTTACATAATAATCTCTCATTTAATCTCTAAATTAGCGCCATTGATTCTAACATCTCATGTAGCAAGTATGTACCAAGAAAAAGATGAAAATAACTCTCAGCCTGAAAAAGTTGACTATTTCTCCTTTTTAATAAAAAAGGTTTATTTGAGGACCAATAAGAATTTTTTGTCCTTTTTTCTTAGCATGTGCTACCTGGTGACATGTTAGAGTTGATGATGCTAAATGAGGATACAATGAGAAATTTTTACGTAACATTTAGTGGAATAAATAA